AATATGTGTTCCAAAGTCAATTTTAGTAACATCATCATATTCTAAAACAGTTGGATCTCCAGCATTTGGAGTATAATGAGCTGCACAATGATTTCTTGAACAACCAGTTGGAAATGCTAATCCAGCTTTCAATCCATCTTCTCCTATTAACTTCCTAGCTGTATTTTCTAATTCATTACAAATTTCTATCATTGTCATTCCAGGTTTCACCTAAAATAATTATATTCTTATATCAAATGTTTTACTTTTTTCTTTTTTATACTTATTTTGCTATTATCATATACCCATTTCATAATATGTTTTCTTGTTTGTCTATGAGCTTCAGCTGCTTGCCTTGCTTCATTATAAATATCATTATGCATTCTATCAAATGCTCTTGCTTCTTCACTTGAAAAACGTTCTTTAGCTGTTCTATCATCTACTCCTGCAGCAGGTGGATGATCCATTATTTGCCCAATTGGGAAATTTCCATCTGAAAATAATTCTGACACAGGAATAGTTGGTGGATCTGTTTGTTGTTTAGGACCTTTCCCACGTGATTTACGTTTCTTCTTTTTTTTTTAATATCTTCTGTTTCTGCATCATTTTCTGTTGCCTCTATATCAACTTCTGTGTATAATATGACATGAATTAAATATTATATATTTAAATAACTCCTTTATATAATCTTAAAAACAAATTACCTTCATCTACAGCATTATCATGTTTTGTTTTTTCTTCTTCTCCTTCTGGAACATCTGCACTAGCTTCACCAGCTCCTATAAAATTGTTTATAAAGAAGTTATAAAAATTCTAATTATACTATATTACATGCTGCATTCAAAAATTATTTATAAATAAAACTATTTTCAATATTATAATCTAATTTTGAAAATTTAATATACAAATATTATAATATTTAATATATAAAAAATTTTTTATATATATTATATATATAAAGATAATCAAATAAATTAATCAAAGCATTTTGCAAAGCAAATCTTAGTCATAAAAAAAATGACAACAAGAAATAAAAACTAATACAAAGTAATTTATTCACTGTGCTATACATAGTCATATAACAATAACTTACATATGTTCTTCATTAATTATAATTGAACATATCAAAATTGCATTATAAAAATTGCAATGATAAAAATAATAAATAATTATATATTATATACGTATGCATTATTTTCATAAATGAAGATTCAGACAAACACATGATTAATTCCTGAACTTGCGTAAACGAGTATACACCCAAAAATACAATAAAATGACATACCAGCTTTCTTCTTCTTTTCTTCTTTTTTTTCTTTTTAGACGCTTCTACGGCACCAGTTTCATCTTCTTCATCAACAATTTCATCTTTTTCTTCATTTACTAATTTTTCGGCGGATTTGCCGACTTCGTCCAATACGGCAGCCATTTTCAAGAGGAAGCCAAACAATGCTATATTAATCGTAAAGTGGCCAGCCGATAAAGTAGAAATAGCATTTATATATGTGATCTTCCTTTCAAATGCTAATAATAGCATAATAGACTAATACCGATAGTGTAAATCAAACAGATTTTAGTTTTTACTATTTAAAATGAGAAATTTATGAATTATATTCAATCAAATTGTGATAAAACTTTTAATCTTTATTCAAAAAAAGATTATGAGATATAAAATGCAATGTAATAATTATATTTTATATCTCATTTTTCAAAAAAATATGTATTATTGTAAATTGAATTTGATACTGATACATTATAGATATAATATAATATTATATAGATACTGATTTAAATTTAATGTAGGAAAGAAAATATATATTAACATCAAATAAAACTTTAAAAATATTATCGAGAGAGAATAGTTTTATAATTGTATGTACAAAGTATTACATAGAAATAGTGATTTAACAAAAGTTTTTTTTTATAACTTTTCTTATAACATTAACTTATGATTAAAAATAAAAATTCTTAATATAGGAATTTAATTTTTGACATGTATGATCGATAGGTGTATATATATATATATGTATATATATATATATATAATCTAATGATAATGATAATAATTTATCCTACAGAAGAAATAATTAAATCGGCAACGTCTGGATCTTGACATAGAACAGAAAGCTGCATCGTAACTTGATTATCCGATAATGCTAATCTTGCTCGTGCAAGAACTTCTTTTCCGCCTCTAAAAATACCACTTAGTAATAAATTATGTGCAGCAGCACCAGATTGTACTCGGTTGGTTCGATCTACAGCATCCAAGCCTAAAAATCCTGTAAGACTTTGGATTGCTCCTTCTAAACTGGTTACTGATGGACCCAAAGCAAAAGTTTCTTCTAGTTTCGCGAATCCTTTCGCAGCAGCTGCATCCCATGCAGCACCAAAATCTAATACTCTATTTCCAATTCCTCGAACTTGATCAGCCAAAGTTATTTCTAAATCTTCCAACTAAAAATGATACATTTTTTTTTAAATTATTAAATATTTTTTTTCTTAAACAAGCAAATATTTAACATATAAAACAAATAAATAATTACTATAAAATTATTATGTTCTTAATTTTGCTTGATAACAATAAAATTAAATTTAGAAAGAAAGTTTTAAATATATTATATAATAACAAAAATACCATATATTCATCATTATATCCTTGATCAGCATCTGGAACCCCTGTCGCAGGATCACAATCACGAGCCATAAATCGCAAAGTTGTAGGAATAGTAGCAACACTAGCATGAATATCTTCCGGGTATCTTAATACTGTATATGTTGTGCCAAGTTCATTGTATGGTAAACGTGGACACGGGACTTCACACACAATTACATAGCTAAAAATATAAAAATATTATGCTTCGAAAAATATCATATAATATAAAAATATATGCGAATTATTACCCTTCAGGTGATTCCACAGCGACTCTCACATCTTCGAGTAATTGATCAGAAAGAGTATTTATACAATCGAATTGCAAAACGAGAAGATCAGTGAATGTATGTTTAATGCATTTAACATTATATTCTGTTTCTGATTCTGTCAATTCAAATACAGGTGATGACTTAAGTAGAGAAGAATCGCGAATAATCATTGACAAATGTGGTATTTGTGATAATTTTTCCATGAAGCTTTCTTCTCGTGTTAATCGAGATTGTTGTTGTTTCACAGCAGTATGTACTTCTATTTGTGTTGGTTCTTCAATCGTTTGTGCTGGTGGAATCTATAAAAATTGATTTGTAATAAATTTGAATAATTAGATTAAAAATTTGTATTTTTTTAAATTTTAAAATTTTGATTAATTACTTGTGAGATATCAAATGGTTCATCCATTGATGTCTGCATATAATTTCGTAAAGCTCTTTCTAAACTAGGTACAGATAAAAGGGGAGGCTGTACTAAGGGTAAAACAGTTTGATCATTTTGTTGCTGCAAAATAGCACAATAATAAGCCGCACGATCACGGACTTCATCATCTGAATCCAATTGACACCGCGATAAGAGAACCAACACATTTGGCAATAATGGTGAACATGCTGCGGCAAAACGTGCTAATGCAGTAACCGCTGCAGCACGAACACTGGCACTTTCCAAAATTACACGATTGTAAATAAAACGTATATATCGAGATGGTTGTTTTGAAGTTGGTCCTTCCTGACCAAGTAAATGAAGAATGCGAACAGCGAGTGAATTATGCTCGCAATCTTCGATAAATTCACAAAGATGAGCTAGACCAGCTTCCTTTGCTTCAGCATTTACTTCCATGACAGCTATTATTGTATCTGCAATTGCTGCCTTATATTCAAGTCCTCCTTCATCTCTTAGCATAGCAGAAAGAAAATTCATTAAAACTGCATGTTTTCGAGGGAATTTTTGACAGAGAGCCCTAATAGTTGGATAAAAAATTGTATAAAAATTTTTTTCTTTTTTTTTCATATATATAAAATTGATAAAAAAATTACATTATTACCTTATAGCTTGTACAACTACGACTTTAAACTCATCCGAAATTTCCGATACAAAAGTAGCGATTTGCTTCATTAATCTATCTACTGAACTTTCTGCTCCAGTTTTTAATAGGGTAGTAATTGCTAATGTAGCAATAGATCTGTTTGAATCAGTAATTAAATTTTCTAAATCTAAATTGCATGCAGTAACTGCTGTTGGATGAGACATAGCAACTTTATTTAAAGTTCTAACAGCAGCAAATCTCAGGGCTGGCTTTTGAGATCCACAAAATAATTGAAGAACACTAATAGCAGGAGTTATTTCTTTTGTGCAACTTCTCCCAAGATTGATCAAGGCATGTGCTGCTTCATATACCACCATCTCTGATTTATGACGTAAACAAGATTCAATAAATCCTAACAGTTCTTCTCCTTTATCAACCTCATCTAATAATTTACATGCCATTCTAATTAACATACATGCTGCATAAGGACTTTTTGGACTTGTTCTCATAAGCTTAGCAACTAACTTAATTACAGCATGTTTATCTGCTTTACGTGCTTGATACAAGACACCAAGAGCATGATATTGAACCATCACATTATTAGAATTTAATGCCTCTTGAGCTTCATTTGCCCATCTACGTGCAACATCTCCAGATACATTGGTCAAGTGTAAAGTAGAAACTAAAGCTGCACTGGATACAGCAGCAGAACGATCTACAATAGCTTGTTTCATATAACGTTCAATAGCTGCTAACATCCCACCATCTGTAATGGTACATAATGCTCTTATTGCTGCAGCTCGATATAAATCTTCTTTTCCAGTCATATCCTTTGTCAAACTTGAAGTAACTATAATCACATCTTCTGCCAAAGAACTCAATTCTTTGATGCCTAGATAGACCAACCTTCTTAGGACAACATCTCTGGACTGGAATAACTTGGTCATAGCAAAAAATGCTTCTGTTGCTTCCATTGTACCCAATTGTTCTCCTTGATTTAATAGATACAAAATTTTCGTAAGAATGTGAGCACATTTTCTTGGATTAACTGGAGTATCGTTGAAAGTACGAGCTTCTTGGAGAACCGTCGTTTTCTCTAGATTTTGGAAAGGGTTTCCCCCACCTATTAACATAAAAATTAGCTAAGCAAGTGTCGAATGAAAGTCATTGTTTGCATATTACTTGTTTGAAAAGTGCGTATAAATTTATAATTGAAAAGAATAAAAATCAAGTTACGTGAAATAAAAGAATTCATTGGAGAAAAATTATCTTCCACGACGAGCAGTCGTTTAAATCTGTTTACAAGGAACTGTCACAAGAATAGGTCTGATTTGTTTAATTTTGTTTAGAAACTTAAGATAATGTGGATAATGGAACGATGATTATTTATGATTACCATCTTCTTCCTCTTTCTTATCGCGTTTAAAAGCATTCATCTTGTAAAACCACTGCCGGGAAACTGGAAAATGGAAGACACGTCACCTCAACTCCTTCACATAGGAACCATTGATATATCTTCCGCCATTTTGTAGCGGAAAGAAAACGAAACTAAACTTTTGACGTAGCATTGTAATTTCGAAGTAAGTATTATCTACTGCCAATAAAATTAAATCGAAAATTTAAAAAAAAATTAATTAAATAAAATAAAAATTTATAAATTGGATTAATAATTGTAATATTCTTTGCGATATATATAAAGTATTTATAGAATAATAAATTTTAATAAATTATTTTTAAAATGTATTTCATAAATTATAGTATTATAAAACATATTATATATCAATAAATAATAAAATTAATTAAATATTAATAAAATATTAAAAATTATAACATTTAAATATTTTATATTTTAAAATAATCTATTATTGGTACATCTATCATTTTTCTTGCTGAATTATGTTTATCAATTATTAACTTTTGAAAATATGTTTTCAAAAGTACTCAATAGATGACCTTCATTCTTATTTTATTTTATACTGCTTTTGAAAAGATATCTTTGATACTCAAGAGATGGTGCGGATTTCATAATTTTTATCTGTTTTTGGCATATAATGACAGATAAGATATCAATTAAGCATATTTTGATTTTTGAAAATTAAAATGTGTTAATCTTTAATATAAAATCTAAATATTATAGATTTTAGTATTTCTTATAAAGATATAAGATATTCTTATGATATATTCTATAACAAATTGTTTTTTTTCTTGTATGTAATTTTATGTTAAAATTTAATTTTAATTTATTATCATTTTTATTAATAATAATTTATTAATTCGATATAATAATTTACAAAATTTGTTTAAATTTATTAATTTTAAAAGTAACTTATTATTTCTAATAAATACATTTTTGATTTTGTATTCTTTAATTATAAAATTTATTTAATTATAAAATAATTAATTATTTTATATATATAATTTATTTCTAGACATTACTGTAGCAATAACATTACCATAATTGGCATATATTTTATTTGACACGTATTCAATTGTCTCAATTGTACATTTTCTTAATTATAAATTTCTTTAATAATTTAATAATTTTACTGAGGTATTCTGTTTCTAAGATATGCAAGAATTTCTTCTGTAGATTTCATTAGAATTGCTTGTCTAGGTTGTTTAAAACAATTTCCAGATAAAGATAGATTCCTATAAAAATTTAATAATATAAAATATTAAATATAATTTATTATTTTTTAACTTACCTTAGATTTTTTAAATTACCAAGTTCTGGTGGTATGTATCCAATATTATTATTAGCAAGATTTAATATTACAAGTTTTTGTAATTTTTGTAGAGATAATATATCAATATTAGTGATTAAATTATCATTTGCTATTAATATTTCTAAAGAATCCACATCGTAAATTGATTCTGGTATTTCTTTATACCTGTGTAACATATCGATAAGTTTTTAATAAAATTTTATGTTTACTATATAATATTATTCATTAATACAATGATATTATTATATATATTATATATACATTATTAATGTATATATATGTTATTATATGTTAAATAATAAATTAAATAAAATATGTTATTATAAAATATTATATACAATTATAAGTATACCTGTTAAATGAAATATTAAGTTCTTGTAAGTATTTAAGCAAGCCAATGTTGAAAGGAAGTGATTCTAAACAATTTTTGCTTAAATCTAAAATTTGTAGATATTTATACTTTTCACAAATCCATTCTGGTATATGTGTTAGTTGATTAGATGTCAATTTTAAATCAGCAACTTTTGTAATTATATGTAATTCATCAGGTAAGGTAGAGAACTTATTTCTACTTAAATCCACAGTACCTACATCAGCTTTACATGCATTTTCCAAAACTTCTTGTGGTATTTCAGTAAGATTTTGTCCAGCCAAACTCAACAATTTTGTACTATGCATTGTATATCTAAAAATTACATTATTTAAAAATAATTATAAACTATATAGTTTATAATTTATTATTGTAATGAGTATTGCATATTCAAATTAATTTTAAATAATTATTTTTTATATATTTATCTGAATAATTTATATACCTATCTGGATAAATATTTGTACTAGCATTTAATGTTACATGTCTTTTGGAATCTAAGTTTGTACTTTTAAGACCTTGTTGTATATGTTTTAAAATTCGAGATGTACCACATCGTATTATATCCATTCTAATATTTTTTACATCATTTCCATCAATTATAAATTGTTTTATATTAGGCATTAAGCCAATATGTTCTGGAATTCTATAAAACAAAGAATATTATTTTGAAAATATTTTATTACAACAAAATAATAATATAGAAAATAACATACAGAGTTATTTTGTTGTGTGATAAATCAAAAATTTCTAAATACACCAATTTTATTATTTCCTCTGGTATAGATTCAATTTGATTATTTCCTAATGTCAATGTTTTTAATTGCCCTACACCTTCTAAACAAGACATATCAATTTCCTATAAATTATATAAAATTTTATTATATATATTTTTATTATATGTAAAATATTATTATTAATATAAATTACTATAGTATATAAATAAATATTTTTTTATCAAAGATTATAGAATATATATTTTTATAGTTATATTAAATGCACAAAATATTTTTTTATGCATATAATTCAAACATATAAATTATTTATTTCTCTATATATGCTTAAATTAGCATATCAGTACGTACAGTAATGTTATTATCAGCCAAATGTAGTATTCTTAACTGTATACAACCAGACATATCAGGAAATGTTGTTAATTTGTTTGTTTGCAACATCACTGTTTCTACCTTCCTTAATTCACCCAGAGGTGGTAACATTTCCAAGTCATTATAACTTGCATTTAATTTTTGTAATGCTATTTCCAAAAAATATGTGTAGATTTTATTACATATTATATTTTATTATTTATTACATTTTTATGTCATAGAGGAAGAAACAGTGTGAAACTGTTTATTTGTTGAAGCTGATATTATATGTTAAAAATATAATAAAAAAAAACAATTAAATAAAACAAAGAAAAAATATGTTTATAAATTACTGTAAATCATACCTCTCATATTTGTTAAATCAGGTGGCAACTCTTTTAACATATTATGATTTAAATCCAAAGAAACAAGTCGAACTAAATATCCCATTCCAATTGGTAATTCAATCAAATTATTGTATGATAAGTCCTAAATATAAGCAATATTTCAAGATTAAATTAAATATATAAAATTATCTTAAAAATATAAAAATGATTACCAGATAAGTCAACATTATGAAGTCACCAAATGCTGGATCAAGCTGTTTTATATTATTATTTTTTAAACTTAATTGATGCAATTCAGTTAATTTATAAAATTCATATGGTAATTTTTCTAATTTATTATTTGATAAATTTAGTATTTCTAACTTTTTTAAATTTCCTATTTCAACTGGCAAATCTTCCAATAAATTATTGTGTAACTATAAAAATTATAAAAATTTATTACATAATTTTTCATATGTAATTTTTTTCATGAATAAAATTAAAACTATATTTACATATAATGTAGTTAATTCTGTCAAACATTCTACTTTTGAATCAATTGCCTTTAAACTGTTGCAACTTAAGTCCAACATTTTGAGAGGTTCTTGTTCCCACCATCGTTCATTTTCATGAACATAATCAAGTTCAACATGTAAATTTCTTATTTCTTCTTCAGTTAAATCATTTATAGTCCATACTCTATTAGGTACTATAATAAGTTTCATTGATCATAATATGTTATATATTACATTATTCTATATATAATATAACATATAAAATATAATATGTTTACAAGAATGACTTACCTTAATGCATATGTGTGATAATCTTGTAAGATAATCTTAAACATTGTTTGCTTTATTGCATTATTCACAATATCTAACATGCAAAGCTATCTATGAATCAAAATGAAAAACACAGAGTTCATAACTAAAACTGAGTTACATATTGAATTAAATAAAATTTGATATATACTATATTTATTTTATTATAATTTAGATTACATGCTTTACTTGATAAAGTGCAAAAATAAAAAAACATTTCAAAAATAAATAATTTCCGAGAATAATGAAATTAAAAAATATAATGCAACTAAAAAGCATAAAGCTGATGTGTATACATTTATCATCAATGTAATTAATTTTTATGATATATGTATATATATGGATAATATACGAATAAAATATATAAATTATTAATAAAATAATATTTTATATATTTAATAAAAGTATAATTGATATACTTATAAATTATTTTAAATAAAAAAAATAATGATAAATTATAAAAATTATAATATGAATATGAACAATCATGCATATTAGTTTATTTGTTCTATAGCATTGTGATAATAAGCATTTGAAAATGAAATTTAAATAATATTCATTTCATTTTTATATAATGCGAATACCCGTGAATAATCCTCTCGAAGAGAGATTTAAATTTCCATTTTTTCTAGCGGATATAATAATAACCTCTGATAATTCAGCATTATCGTCATTTTTTGTTCGTTTTTTAAACACTGCAGAATGATAAACTTTTTTCTTCATGTCACTCATATTGTACTTATTTTGCGCATTGTTTATAAATTAATATCCTCGATACGGGATGATTTAATGATAAATGTTCCCCCACTTTGAATATGACATAGGACTATAAAGATATATTCAATATACGGTAATTATTTATATATATATCTAAAAAATAGTCAAATTAAGCAAAATAGTTGATTGAATTGATCAATTTTGAATTTATCATAAATATTATATTTATTTTATTTGAAGTAATAATGAAAACAAAAATAAATACATGTGTTTTGATTAATTGATGCAGTAAAGTTTTGATTACATATTCGAATATTATAACAAAAACAAATAATCATGATTATAAATAATTGTTATTAATGAATGATTGAATAAAATGAAATTGAAAAGTTTAATAATTGTGTAAAAAATATTTATAGGAACTTTATCATAAAATGTTGTCTTTATTTAAATGATATCATATGATAGCATGGGGGCGGAATCGGCAGTTTCGATCCATTTATGT